GGGGTAATGGGGGTACGGGCCCTGGGCAGGGGGGCCGTGTCTGGGCCTCGCTGTCCTCGATCCCCCTTTGAAGCCATACGAAGCGTTCCAGCAAAGGTCCTCGCCTTCGAGGGTCGAACGTGTTGGCACCTCTTCCTCGGCGCACAGGGCGGCGGAAGGCGGCGGCCGGCGGAGGCTGGCAGAGGTACAGTTCAAGCCTCGTCGGCCCAAGAATTCATCGCTGCCCCTTTGCCGGGCTGGGTCGCCCTTCCCAGCCCGGCCGTGATCAATGGCTTCTGTGCGCCGTCTGTCAGTGCCGCCACAGAGTCCAGCAGCGCCTCGACCACCCAGCACTCAGGAGTGGACAAAAACACACAGACACAATCAATTGTCGATTCCCCCGAAAATACGGGAAAATATGGGAAGTGGGGGGGAAGACCCAAACCCCGAACATATGGGAAACTATGGGGACTCCTGTTATTTGTGTGTATTTAACTGTGTGTGCCAGGGCCTCTTGAAGTACGAGAAACACAATGATGTTGCGACCACCGAGGGCAGCCAGCCATGTCTTCGCCTGCGGCCGTGGGCACCTTCGCCCTTGCAGCCGTGGCCAAACACGTCTTTGCCGCTGTGGACTACCACGCATTCGGCTCCGTAACCAATGGAGTGAAGCTTTTGGTCGAACACACGTCTGGGCACTGCGACGGTATGGTTCACTCCTACTGGTCGTTCCCTGTCGGTACGGTAAGCGCTGACCAGCAGTCCGCCTGGTCTGAGCTTCTACGTGCTGTGAGGAAGAAGGAACCCGAGCTACTGGGAGGAAGAACTGCGCAAAGGAAGGCGCAGCGACTTTAGCGGGTACTGCGCGCGGTGCGTCTCCGGAGATGGTGTTCACGCTCGTCAATTGCCGTAGTCGTTTTTTGTCCGGGGATAGCTTGATCAATTACGTGCACATTGAATTCCCAGCTCCTGTTGGGCATCCTTCGCTCACGACGAACCCATCCGACTTGTTTGTGTGTGTGCCCAAGTTTTGGGAGTTTCGGGGGCGTCCAAAAGGGGGGCCATATGCCTTCGGTCCGCCGCCGACGGGGGAGGGGCGATGCGCCGTCCGTGTGGCTGGGGCAGCTCAGCTCCTGCTCCCGTTGAGGGGAAGCCGCGCCCCTCGCCCTCCGCTCCCTTTCACTCCGGCGCGGCGCTGCCGCAGGTTCCCCTTTGCCGTTGGCAGGGGGTTCCTTCACCGTGCGAGCGAGCGACCCGCAGGGTACTTCTTGCTCTGGGAGGCTTCCCTGCGCCTGCGCCGAGGGCCGCGAGAGGCCTCAGGGTATGGCCTCGCTTCGCCGCTGCTGCGCCCCGCCTCGTCGAGGACCACCGGGCGCCGAGGGGGCCGAGGACCAGCGGCGGGGGGTGGATATCACGGCGGGGCTCATCTCGATTCCTCCGACTCGATTCGATCGGATTTCGATCGATTCCGATTAAGGTTCGACTCGACTTCGCATTCCGATTCGGATTTCGGTTCTTCAGAGGAGGCCTTGTTAGCCTACTAGCCTGTCGATTTCCGCATATTCGACTTCTCCCGACTTGACTGCCGATTTCCGCCGATCCGATTCGTTTCGATCGTAGATCCGACTGATCGATTCGATTTTGGGCTTTCCTGTCATGGCGGGGGGGCATATGACATCTCTCCAGATTTCGTGGCGCCCTCTTTTTCTTTAAAGACGCCCCTTGCCGCCCACGCCCCTTGGCCGCGCGCATGCCTCCAGCCATGAGTTGCGACCTCCCGTCTTGGACGAACCCTTTTTGGCACGCCTCTGAGTGGTGGGGCAGTGCTCCCATGCCCATCGCTCGTTGAAGTTACGTATGGGTTCACAGGTTCCAATCTCCCGTAGGCGCCTCCCAATCTCAAGGGTCGACCAGTTTGCCTCAACACCGCCCTACTTCATGGTTGTATCCAATTTTTCCGAGCGATGGGTTTCTTTGGCATGCCCATCGTCGGAGGTCACCTGGGCTCAGATGATGCCCGACGGGGATAACGCGCCAGCCCGATACTGGCAGAGCTGCATCGGCGTGGTCCCTCCGTCCGGCTTGGTTGTCTCTCTTGATCGGGGCCGCGCCAGCATCCCTGCCCTCCACGATAACTACAGTAGCTCCTGGAGAGGCCCGAGGAAGATGTTGATCGGGTGTTTCCAGATGTATCTTTGGCCCAAGGTTCCCCCAGGAAATCCAAGGAGGCCCTCACGGCTTCCAGAGGACCCCTCACGAGGCCCACAGGACCTCACAGGGGCACCAACGTGGAGCGAACAGCTGGTGGCACCTTGGGCAAGGACCACTTCTATCAACATCTGATTGGATAAATGAGGAAGGAGGGGCGGGAAGAGGAGTATCAGGAGGAGGAGGAGGAGAAAGAGGAGGAGGAGGAGGAGGAGGAGGAGGAGGAGGACGGAGGAGGTCGGAGGAGGACGGAAGAGGGACAGGGCCATGGGCAGGGTCAGTAGCGCCGTGCTCTACTGCAGTGCTGATGGGGCTCATGCTCGTTGTTGTCCGGGCTCTCCACAGAACGCTGTCGCGCAGGAGAGTCGGGGGTCCCCAAACGGGGTGGTGACCACACCGTGCGGTGAGTCGGTGGGGATTCGGCGTCACCGCACGGTTTTGAGACTCGGGTCGTTCTCCGAGGACGTCTCGGGCGATTGGGGCATCCGAGGTCCCAAAACCGTGCGGTGACGGACCGTGCGGTGAGGTCTTGGGGGATTTCGAGGCCATTGCACGGTCCGTCACCGCATCGTTCCGGGACTCCGAAGAGAGTGCGGAGGACCGACATCGGGACGAGGAGGTGAACAAGGCTGAGGAGGAGAGGGCACGATTCGCGAGGAATGCGCGTATCGATGACACACCGCCGTTGGGAGCCTGTCACCATGTTGTTCCTTTTTGTCCCAACCCTCCCGTGTTGGGTTTTCGTTTGAACGGAGCTCTGTGGTACCCACTCCTTCTCCTTCTCCTCCTCCTGCCCCCCCTCCCTCCTCCTACGCTGCTCTTTGGGTGGCTGCGATCGGCGCATCTGTCGCCCCTTTCGTGGGCTCCTGAGAGGCACGGCGGAGTTGGGGATCAGGCGCACCCAGCTGAGAACTCGCAGCTCCCTGGGCGGCTGCGAATGGTGCAAGTATCGCCACTTCCGTGTGCACCTGAGTGGCCCAGCTGACTAGGGGAGTGCACACCTCCAGCCGAGGCCTTGTGGCTCCCTGGGGGACTGACATCTGCGCAACTGTCGCCACTTTTGTAGGCTCCTGGGAGTCCCCGAGCAGTGGGGGAGCACGCAGACCGAGCAGAGACCGCACGGGTGTTGCGCACTGCGCAATCGTGGCCACTGACGTGGGCTCCTGGGAGACACAGCGAAGCAGAGTGTCCCTGCAACGTGTTCTTTTGTCTTGAGCGTTCCTTTGAATAGTTGACTCGCGTTGAGAAGGGGTGGGGCACTCCTCGGGGAATTGTCCTAAAAGGCATCGTGTTTTCCAAGACGGCGTTGGTGGGTTCTCCCCACGGTGGCGTGTCATCGAACGTGTTTTTGCTTCCCCACGGGAGGCCTGGGCCCCTTCCCCGGGGCAGGTTTCATCCCGATCAGTTGGAGGAGGCGGAGGAGGAGGAGGAGGAGGAGGAGGAGGAGGAGGAGGAGGAGGAGGAGGAGGAGGAGGGTTGTTTGACGATCCCCGGGACCAGCGAGAGCTCCCGGAGCGGAGGCCAACATTGGTTGGACATCTTCCCGTCGCGATGGTTGTCGCAGCGCGATGATGTCTGGGGAGGTGAAAGAGGGGGGGGGGGGGGCAAGATTGAGAGAGATCCTAGTAAGCAGCTCCTGCGAGGTCAAAATCAGCATCGGCGCTGGCTGTGGTCGGAGACTGGCCTAATCTGGCACCATCCCACTGAATCCCGTCTAATGCCGCTAAGCCCGCCGCAATCGGGCTTGGTCCTGGGTCTAATCGGGGCTGGTTCGGCTTAAGGGCGTCTCAATTGGATTTGATCGAAGACGCCCACGGCGAGTCGGAAGCGCCTATGTGGCCGAACGTTGATGCCAGAGCCCTGCCAAGCTATCGGACCATGTGTTCCCCGAATCGGTTTGGAAAGCCTTCGGGGAACACGTGGGGGAGGACGGGGAAGAGGAGGCGAGTGAGGAATGGGCGTGCTCGGGGCCCCTTGGGCGTGTTCGGGGCCCTTCGGGCCTTCCCGGAGGACGTCTCGGAGGGCTCTTGGGCCGTCTTGGAGGTCTCTTGCGGGCCGTTTGGGCAGTCTAACTCCATCTTGATGCCATCTGGGGCCGTCTTGTGTGCATCTTTGGGCCATCTTCGCTGTCTTGGAGGCCATCTTGGCTCTGAAAAAGTCGAGCGACAACCTGCGCCATGCCGCACCACGCCCCGGGAGGTTTGGCGAATTGGGTTCCAGGCCTTTGAAAAAAGACTCCTCAGGAGTGGGGATTGGGTCTCGGGGGCTTGGGCAGAGGACCTGAGGACACGCCCACTCCGTATCCAGCGGCACAGTGGCGGGTGTTACGAAGACCTCCCAGGAGCTGACTCTGGAGACAAGCCGGAGAGGGATTGCTCGGGGGGGCGCGTAATGGGGTAGAGGGGGGGGGCCGATGCATGGAGTGGGGCAGCGCGGGCTGCCCAAAAGGGACCCTTTCGGGCCCAGACGCGGGCCTGTTGAGGCCCAACCAGGGCACCTTTCTCTCCCCCCCTCAGCGGTCGTCCCCTCTGGGCCCCGGAAACGGCAGGGCCCTTTTTTCACCGTTTCCAAAAAAAATGTCCCTTGAAAATGGAAGCGGCCCAAAAACGGCGACCGGAAACGGCAAAAAAAAGGCTCCAGGATTGGAACCGGAGCCGGAACCGGCCAAAAAAACGGCGACTGAACCGGTACAAAAACGGCGTCGGAACCGCAAAAAAAAAACGGCAAAACGGAACCGGTAACAAAACGGCCCTGTCGTTTCTGGGGCCCTTTAAGGTCGTCCCCCCATGAAGTCGCGCCCAAGTGCCTCGGAGGCCCTCGCCGCGTCGCTGGCCGTGCGCCCCGCCGCCGCCGCGGCCGCTGGCGGCCGGGGCGGCAGGGCCACGGGCGCCGGCCGCAGGGGCGAGGCCGTGGCGGGGGGGAGGCTCTGCGGAGTTGCCGGAGGAGGGCTCTCCTCCTCCCTCCCTCTTCCTCCTCCTCCTCCTCCTCCTCCTCCTCCTCCTCCTCCTTCTCTTCTTCCTCCTCCTCCTCCTCCTCCTCCTCCCTCCTCCTCCTCCTCCTCCTCCTCCTCCTCCTCCTCCTCCTCCTCCTCTCCTCCTACTCCTCCTCCTCCTCCTCCTCCTCCCCCTCCCCCCCCCACCCCAGGGTCCTCCTGGCGCAGGCGGGGAGCGCCGGGCCCGAGGGGCGAAAATCCCCCGCTCCCCGGGGGACGCCGCCAAAGTGCGGTTTCCTTCCCCCGGGGGGGTCGCCAGGCCCCGTGTGCTTCCCCAGGGCGGTGCTGGGTCCCCCCCAGCGCTCGCCGCCCTGGGGCGGGGCTGGCGGCTCGTCTCTGTCGTGTCGCTCGTCCGTCTCGTGTCGTTCGTGTCGCGTCGTTCGTTTCGTCCCCCTGTCGTGTCGCGTCGTGTCGTGGTCCCGGGGCCCGTAAAACGCGGCCACCCACGGAGTGGGTGGTGGGTAGGGTTGGCGCTGAGCACGGCTCGCGCCCCCTACCCCGACCAGGGAGCGCGGAGCACGGTCTCCCTGCGCTCCCTGGTCGCGCTTAGGTCGCGCCACGGGGGCATGGCCCCGACCGTGGCGCGGCCTGCGCCGTTTTGCGCCCTCAGGCGACTGCCAATCGCCTGTTGAATTTTGGCTTCAAGTGTCGGGCTCGACGGCTGCCTGGCTGGCCGCCAGGAGGACCGCGATGACTCGCGGCAGAGTAGCGCAGCGGCAAAAAAAATCCTCCCCCTCCCCCCCTCCTCCTCCTCCTCCTCCTCCTCCTCCTCCTCCTCCTCCTCCTCCTCCTCCTCCTCCTCCTCCTCCCTTTCCTCCTCCTCCTCCTCCTCTCCTCCTCCTCCTATCCTCATTCTCCTCCTCCTCCTCCTCCTCCTCCTCCTCCTCCTCCTCCTCCTCCTCCCACTCTCCCTCCCTCCTCCTCCCTCCTGCGGTCCGCGAAGTTTTTTGGGGGCCCCCACATTGGCGGCGAGCGAGGGGAAGGGGAAGTCAGAAGGAGGCGGCCGTCTCAGAAGGTGATGGGGGCCTCAGAAGCCGTGGAGCCTTCTGAGAGGTTTTTTTCCTGCCCTCGAGGAAAGCTAAAAAAACTTCGCAAGGCCAGAGACTTCCGAGCCTTCTGAGAAGTCCCGCCCCTTCTCACCTCCCCCTTGGGCTCGCCGCCGACCCGAACGGTGGAGGTCTTCCTGCCTTCGTTCAGCATAGTTCATCCCCTAACACCAGAAACACCATGAATTCGTGGCCTACCTTAGGTCCACGGTTTCTAGGGGTATCTCCAAACACGTGCTTGGTTCGTCAGACACATGTGAAGCAACGACCCCACCCCTAAAATTTCTTGCCTTCCTAACTGAGATTCCCCTCCAAATGAGTAGGGGGTACTTTTATTGCCTATCATGCCTCGTGGATTCGTTGCAGCAGCTGCGCCTCGCCGATAGCGTTCTGGGGGTGCCCTGATCATCCCGAACGGCCTCTGGAGACCCGAGTTCTGGCCCGGAGGCCAAGCACTTGGAGGAGGCCAGTGAGGTGAGTCAGTGGGGATCCAGGGTCACCACGCGGCTTTGGTACTTGAATTGTTGTCCGAGGATGTCTCGAGCGACTGGGGGCCCCCGAGGTGCCAACACTGTGCGGTGACGGACCGCGCGTCGATGTCGTTGGGGATCTCGAGGTCGGAAAGAGAGCGCTCTGTGGTCGCTTGGAGGGGGGGGGGTTGGAACCTGACTCCCCCCCCCTCCCTGGATGGAGGGGGGGGGGTTCGACCCCCCCCCCCTGGCGGCGGCGGCGGCTGGCGGCGGCGGCGGGGAGCGTCGACGAGGACGACGGTGGTGGCGGTGGTGGTGGTTGTGGTGGTGGTGGTGGTGTGGTGGTTCGTTGTGGTGGTGGTGGTTGTGGTGGTGGGTGGTTGCGGTGGTGGTGGTGGTGGTGGTGGTGGTGGTGGTGGTGGTGGTGGTTTGGTTGTGGTGTGGTGGTGGTTTGTGGTGGTGGTGGTGGCGGTGGTGGGTTGTGGTGGTGGTGATTTGGTGGTGGTGTGGTGGTGGTTTGTGGTGGTGGTGGTTTGTGGTGGTGGTGGTGGGTTGTGGTGGTGGCGGTGGTTTGTCGTGGAGGTGCTGGTGGTGGTGGTGGCGGTAGGTAGTGGTGGTGGTGGTCTGGTGGTTTGTGGTGGTGGTGGTGGGCTTGCTGCTGGTAGTGGTGGTGGTTGTGGCTGTGGTGGTGGTGGTGGTGGCGTGGTAGATTGTAGTGGTGGTGGTAGTGGTGGTGGATTTTTGTGGTGGTGGTGGTGTTGATGGTGAGTTGTGGTGGTGGTGGTGGTTGTGGTGGTGGTGTTGGCTGTGGTGGTGGTGGTGGTGGTGGTTGTGAGGATGGTTGGTGGTGATGGTGGTGGCTTGAGGCGGTGGTTGTGGTGGTGGTGGCGGTGGTGGTGGTAGTTGTGGTAATCGTCGCTGCGTCCCCGCCGTCGCCGGCGCCAGGGGGGGGTTTGACCCCCCTTGAGCTGCCGCTGGTCATCGTCGCTGCGTCCCCGCCGTCGACGCTGCTAGCGGCCGCCAGCGCCGGCGCCGGCGCCGGCGCCGAGGGGGGGGGGGTTGAACCCCCCCACCCCGTGGGAGGGGGGGAGGGTTCGGGAGGGGGGCGGTGTGGGGGAAAGGGGAGTCCCCCTGGTCTTGATCGACAGAGCCGAGTGTTGGGGGGCCCCCCCGGTTCGAAACGCGCCGCCGAATGTTCCCCAGGCAAGCGCCCGTGAAACGCGCTCTCTCCGAGGTCACCACGCGGTCCTCTCAGAGAACGTGTGATCAGCATCAAACTCATATTCTTATCACTTGAGTGCAGTCTAATCGGGACTGGAAGTGCGCAGAGAAAAAGCGAAAAGCAGAGAAACCCGCGAGGGCGCGAGAATGTGGTTGCGGCAGCGATGGCACGAAAGTGCTTGGTGCTGGTTGTCTTTTCCAGTTTGCTGGACGGCTCTCTTTCTCTTTCCTCTCTCTCTCTCTTTCTCTCTCTCTCTCTCTTTCTCTCATTTTTGAGATTAAAAAAGTGTTTGTGGTCTCTGTCTCTCTCTCTCTCTCTCTCTCTCTCTCCATCCAACCATGACTTTCACAAAGCATGGGCACATAGGACAAGGACGGTGGGGAGGGGAAGAGAGCTACCCTGGCAGGCCGAGCCTGAACTCCGTGACTTCGAGGGCGGGAGCGGCCTCGAGGGCCAGGCCCCTGTGGCCGCGACCCCATGGATACGGGGCGCGTTTTCGCGGATGCCCTGCGCGAGACGTATTTGTGCGTCCGTGTAGTTATCCACCGGGCCGCGCCCCAGAATCCAGACCGCGATGGCGTAGATCCAGACATGTTCGCCGCTCGTGATCTCTGTCTCTCTCTCTTTCTGTTTTGTCCTGCTGTCCTTCTGTCTTTCTATCTGTTTTTCCGTCCGTCGTCCGTCCGTCTGTCTGTCTGGCTGTCTGTCAGTCTCTCTGTCTCCCTGTCTCTGTCTCTCTTCCTCTCTCGCTTCCCGGATGAAGGGATGGAAGGTCTCGAGTACCTTTGCAGCCCCAGTTTGTCTTCAGGGCCTCGGAGTGACCAGAGGTCAGATCACAGTCAAGAGGATTTCCGAGGGTTCCAAGGTTTCGCGGACGCCCGTGTTTTTGATGGCGTCGCCCGAGATGCAGGATCATGAGCAGGAGGATCATCGGGTGGACGCGAGGGATACGATCGCAGAGGAGCAAGAGGATCATCAGGACGAGGGGAGGGTGGAGAAGACTGAAGAGGAGCAGGATTTGTTTGGACGCAGCGTGGACGGAGGAGAGAGGGAGGTGGAGGAGGCGTAAGCGACGGAGAAGGGATGAAGGAAGGATGAGGATGATGGGGCGATGAGGAGGGAGGAGAAAGAGGCACGATGACGAGGAGAAAAAGGAAAGTAGGAATGGGAGGTTTACGAGGATGGGAATACCTTGGGTGTGCGAGGGCGGTTTCGGGAAGAGTTGGATTCGAGCAGAAGCAGCGTTCGAAGAGGCGACAGTAGAGGGGAACGTGAGGATATATTGCGATGATGGTGATGGTCGTGGTGCTAATACTTGTGGTGACGACGACGATGATGGCGATTCTGATGACTATGATGATGATGATGATGATGATGATGATGATGATGATGATGATGATGATGATGATGATGATGATGATGATGATGATGATGATGATACTGTTGGTGGGGATGATGATGATGATGATGATGATGATGATGATGATGATGATGATGATGATTACGAGGTCGGCGAGTATGGTGATGTTGGTGCTCGTGATGGTGATCACGATGATGGTGGTGGTGATGATGACATTGGATCTAATGATGCTGATGGTGGTGATGCTGTGTGTGATTATGATGATGATGCTGGATATGTTACTGGTGATGATGCTGTCTATGCTGATAGTGGTGTTGATGCTGGTGTTGATGATGCTGATGTTGATGATGATGATGATGATGATGATGATGATGACGGGAGCACGGTGAGGATGAGGATGAGGATGACAATGAGGATGTTGGCGATGACGCTGACTCGAACATGATGCTGATGTGGATGTTGATGCTGATGTCCATGCAGATCGTGATATTGTTGCTGCTGGTGATGAGACTGTTGATGCCGATGTTTATGCTGCTGCTGATGATAATGAGACTGCTGCTGCTGCTGATGATGATGCGTATGACGACACGGCTGATTCTGCTGTTGCTGCTGCTGGTGATGACGATGACGATGATGGTGGTGATGCGGTTGCTGATGATGCTGGTGACGATGATGCTGATGAGGGGACCATGCTGAGGATGAGGGCGATGATAAGGATGACGATGGTGGAGCTGCTGATGAGACTGATGCTGATGACGATGCTACTGATGCTGATGATGTTGTTGATGTTCGTGATGATGATGATGCTGCTGATGATCATGGTGGCGATGCTGATGCTGATGAGGATGATGATGGTGAGGGTGACGACGACGATGACGATACCGATCACGATGATGTTGTCGATGTTGATGGCGCTAATGGTGAAGCTGATGCTGATAATGATGATGGTGCTAATGATGATGATGCTGATGATGCTGATGATGTTGATGATGCCGATGACGATGACGCTGATGATGATGCTGATGCTGCTGATGCTTGTAATGCTGAATACGATGACGATCAAGATGCCGATGGCGACGACGACGACTATGATGATGCTGCTGATGATGATGTTGATGTTGATTATGATTATGACGATGCTGATGATGATTGTGATGATGTCGATGTTGATGATGATGCTGATGATGATGCTGGTGACGCTGATGCTGCTGCTGACGATGATGGGGATGAGGATGATGCTGATGATGAGGATGCTGCTGCTGATGATGAATTTATGACTATTGTAATGTTGCGGATGTTGATGATCATGTGTTACGTCTGCTCCTGATGATTTCATGATGAGTGTGGGGAGAAGAACGTGTGAAGGCTGTTGGAGGAAGAGGGAGGAGGGTTTTGGGACTTGACTGAAAGTGCGAATCCATCCAACTCTGTGGCACCGTGAGAGGCAGAAGACACGGCGAAGGGGAGATGCGGTGATGGAGGAAGGAGCAGAGGGGGCTTCAATGCATACAGGTCGCGCCTGGAGACCCCCGAAAGAGGGGGCGTTTTGCGGGTAGCCCATGAGGTTTCAAAAGAGACAGGGAGGGGGTATGATCGTAGCCATTTTGGCTTAAGGAACTTTGCTCCCGTAGGCGGGGTTTTCGCTGTGCCCCCAGACTCGAGCATCGCCCCGCTCGCCCCCACCCTGCGAGAGAGGAAGACCATTGGCCAGGATGGCCGCGCCCGCAGATGCGCGCAAGATCGTCAAGAAGCGGATGAAGCGGTTTCCTCGCTTCCAGGCTGACCGCTTCAAGAAGATGAATCAGTCCTGGCGCAAGCCCGTCGGCATCGACGGCCGCGTGCGGAGGAAGTTCAAGGGCTCGACGCAGATGCCGAGCATCGGCTACGGATCGGACAAGAAGACGAAGTTCCGTCTCAGGAACGGCTTCTACAAGTTCCGTGTGCAGAACCTGTCGGACCTGGAGATGTTGCTGATGCACAACGAGAAGTACGCCGTTGAAATCGCCCATAACATCGGGGCCAAGAAGCGCAAGGATCGGCCGCGCGCCCAGGGGGGGGAAGGCAGAGGGGGCGGGCCTTTCTTGGGAGGCTCAATAGGCCTCGTGCCGGCTGCTCCGAGGCCGCACTCGGCTTCGCAGCAGGCGCGAGGGCTTTGAGAAGCCCCGCCGCCCGCTGAGAGGGCCAGCCCACTCTCGCACGCCTGCTGGCTTTGGGGTCGTTGCTCGCCACTGCGGCGGCAGTTCGGGACGATCTGGGCACCCTCAGAACTCTCTCGGCGAGGCGCAGCTGCTTTACGGCTTTTTGGATCCGACGAAGCCTTCCTCCCTCGGCGCACTTCCGCAAGGAGATCGTCGAGAGGGCGGATCAGCTGCGGCTCTTCGTCACGAACAGGTTCTCGGCGTCACCCCAACTCGGAAACTGGAACATATACATTACCAGTGGCGGGCTGTTTTTCTCAATCCTAGGACTTTTTGAGGGTCGGGGACGACGCTGGGGTGGTGTGGTGTATACTTTTTTCCTTGTTGTCCCAGAAACAACGAAACATGTATACACCAGGGTCCCGTTCACAGCAGGATCCGCTCTCCAGTGCAAATTTCAATGCGAGGCCGGAAACAAGCGTCGGTGTATAGAGTTCGATTCCCCCCTTTGGGGCGACGCGCGCTCCGAGGATCTTGTAGCATGAGCTCCGTGGCTCGCCCTTTCTGGCCGTGCCGCTCGGGAAGCGATGCCATGCCACGGGATGTTTGTCCTATTTCTCTTACGTCTGGACGGGCGCCTCCAAAGGGGGCGCATAGTACTAGTATTGCGGAAGGCGATTCATGGAGAGGAAGCATGTTGCCAAATGCTTTCCAGATGTCTAAAATATGCTTCAACTATGTCTTAGACGTGTTTAAATGCTCGAAACATGTTTAGAGCATGTTTTACACATTTTAAACACGTCTCCAACTCAATGATAGGATTGTTAGAGTTTCCATTGTCATGGCATCCACAAGCATAGTACTAGTACGGTAGGTTCGTGCCGCGCTGCCGCAGCCCCGACCCCAGTGCGGGCGTTCAAGGCTGAATGCCGCCAGTGGCCCAGAATCGGCCGATAGCAGACAATCTGCCCTATCGGACAGCCGTGATCGTTTAAGGTTGAACGATCCACGGGGCATCAGAGACCAGCGCCGACGTCATCGCGACGCGAAACTTCCACATTATGGGATGATGCTTGAGAAGTTACAGGAGGTCGCGTTCACGCGGTGGCGCCAAGGATGATAAGAATAACCGGCCCTGGGCGGGGAAACAGTTTGTGCAAGCGTTCCCCCCCCGCCGTCCTCGGGCGCGCGCCTGGACGGCCGACGGCACCAGACGGAGCCGCAGCGAAGGGGACGCCGCAGCTCTGGAAGCTCTTGTGTCAATCGTTCCCTCGCGCAACGCTCTCGTCTTGCATTGCTGCTAGTGCTCTCTGTGATTTGCCCCCCCCCCCCCCCCCACCCCCACCCCCCCTGGGGCGACGCGCGCGCCAAGAAATCCACTCGTGTAAGCTCCGTGGTGGGCGCTTGTCGGCCATGCGAGTCCCGAAACGAGATGCTGCCCTATGTTTGCGCGGAGTGTGCCGGGACTTGCGGCTGCGCACGGAGTGTTCCGAACGTGCGCCTTCAGGGAGGGCGCCCGGTGCCAGTGTGTCCTCCTGCGTCTCAGGTTCTCGCGGCTGCGCACGGAGGAGAACGAGTGAGGCGGTGCTTGCGAGAGCGCCGCGGTCGAGGGCGGGCCGCCGTGCGGCGACGCAGGGCACGGGACAAAAGATTTTTGGGGAGGGAGGGGAGGAGGAAGAGGAGGAGGAGGAGGAGGAGGAGGAGGAGGAGGAAGAAAGGGAGGAGGAGGAGGGGGAGGAGGAGGAGGAGGACGAGGAGGAGGGACAGGATGAGGGGAGGGGGTTGCGTAGCCATTTTGGCTCAATGGGTCTTCTCCTGAGCTTCCAACCTCGGTCGAGAGGTTGTGGCGTGTGGTTGGGCGTCTTAGAGCAAGTGGTCCGGGGTTCGCCACCGGAGCTTCGTTCTGTCGCCCTGGCCGCAATGTCATCAGCGGGCTGGAAGTGTAGTCAGCGTGGTTATCTTAACTATGCGTTCCGTCAGAAGAGCAGGCAGTCGGGGTGTACGTGGAGTTCTTCTTCAGGTGGCGGCCCTGTTCTTCCTCCCTGGCATCGTGCTCCGATGGGTGCGCGGTCTTGGGGGGGGTCCTGACTTCTCTGACGGCGATCGGTGGACGGGACAGTCTAAGCGGTGATGGAAACAGGAAGCAACAGAATTGTGATGTTCAACGGTTGGATGAGCAGCAAGTTACCCAGCCATACCGCTTGGGAATCGATGCGCTACACGAATGTGTACGACATGTTCGGGTCGGACGTGCGTCTCCAAAGAGGCACACAGCTCTAGCCCCCCCCTGGGCGCGCCGCCGATGAGGAGGTTGGAGGGATGCGGTGTCGCTGAGCGGGCGCGCGATGCTGCTTCTCTGGCGCACATGGCGCAGGGCGTTCAGGGTTTCCCGCTGCGCCCCGCGAGGCCAATCCCCAAGAGAGGAACAATCACCCCGATCCCCATGTTGGCGTTTGCTACACGGCTCTGGGCGTTTACTAAACAGCCTTGTCTTATGGGTTTCCTGCAATGGCTGCATTTACTGAACGGCTTCACTTGTGGGGGTATGATGTTCCAACTTACTATAGCCTTGACCACCAGAAGGATGCTCGAGCACCCAGAAAGTACCGAAGTACTGTTTTTTTTCTCACGCGTCGGGTCCTGGGAGGCGTTGCTCGTTCGACACTTCGCTAGCGTGCCGAACAGACACTGTTTCGATACTTTTCTGGATGCTCCAATGTTTTTTGGGATGTAGTCCTTACGCACCATGGAAACATCATACTTGTAAGGGTGCTTATCATGAGAGTGTTTTTTCTGCTCTCGGGAATTCTCCCCTCCTCTTGTCCAGGCCTCACTTACAGATGGGGTCCGAGTAGCTGAGGTCGGAGGATTTCGCCACATCGCCGATACTGCTCGATGTGGAACCCGATCTTCTCCACGCCGACGAAGCCGACACAGCGCCGACGTCGCCGATGCATTACACATGCATCGCCGATGCGGCTCGATCCTCCGACGCCATCTACTCGGACCCCATCTGGGAGTCCTTTGTTTCATCCTCCTGCTTTTCCGCCGCCTCCTCTTCCTCCTCTGATGTACACTGCTCCCAGCTTCTTATTGCGCATACCACGATGTAATCCTTTCAGGGGTTCCGGGTTCGCCATGACACCCGCTTGCGGATATGTCCTCTCCCTGTCAGTTGGGACCGTCGCGCCAACGCGGAAACCGGCAATAACGAATGGGTGGGAGGGGTAGGATGTCAGATATAGCTCCAGCGCACCTAGCTTGCCCTCCCCCTCTCTCTCGCCCCCCTTGCGGATTAGCGTGGCGGAGAGGAGGGGGATCGGAATGGGTGGGCCCCAGTTTGGGCAGTGCGCACCTCAGACATTCCACCCTGGGTAAGGTGGAGGTCGCACCTTTGACTGTCGTGCCAGTGCAAAGCGAGCAGCGAACGCATCCTAATGTCTCACGGGGCGGGTCGTCGGAGGGTCGCGTGAGCGGTCGTGCTCGATAGTGTTCTCCAAAGGCAGCGAAACAGACAGCTTGCCGCGGGTGTCGTGTTATGCTTGTTAATTTGTCTCTATTTTTACTTGTCGTGTCTTGATTTCCAGAGCGAAGCTTGTCGTCGGCGGGTCGTGTGGGCGGGGGCACACAATCGTGTTCCCCACTGCTGGTGCAACGCAGCCCGCCGCGAGCGCCGACTGTCTTCTCAAAGCAGTTCGGGCGTGCCGCAGGGCTGGGCTGGGGCGCGGGGCTCGCCGTGGGTGGGTCGTGGGCCGGGCCTCCGGGCAGATCGCGGGTCGACCTGGGAGCGTGGCGCGGGACCCGGCGATGGCGACGAGACATGGCCGCCCCATGGCCGATCCCCTCGCCGGCCGCTGTGCTGGCTGGGCCCGAGGCCAAGCTGTGGGCGGAGCCCTGTTGGACAGCGCAAAGCAGCAGCAGGAGCCCGCGCTCCGCGGAGCCTCGCTCTGGCCCGCGCACTCCGGGCCAGCGCGGAGCTTCAGTGCAGCGGGGGCGCCTGCCAAGAAACAGCACGCTTGCCTCCGGGCTGCCCGGGGTTCCTTGGGTTTCGATGGTCTTGCCATGGAAGACGCGACGTCCCCACGCCAAAAATCGTTGGACGTCTTGGGGTCTCAGGGTTGGGTTTCTGGTGGAAGGTGTCTTGTGGTCGGGCCCTTACTGTCTCTTTGGACCGACCCCTATCCCCAGCCCCATCCCCATCCACGTCCAGACCCCCACCACCTCACTCCCCCAGTTGGGGACATACCCCTCGACGCCCGAAGGAAACGGCCCAGGGTGGCAAATCGGCCAGTGGGGCCCAGGCCGCGCCAGTGGGGATGATAGGGGTCGGTTACCCGATGCTCAGGACTACCTTGCCGCCCCCCCCCCGCGCCGATGGATCTCACGGCCAGCATCGAGGGGGCACGGCGGCCTGTGACCCCCCCCGTGCCGCAGCTCGTGCGGGGCCGATGTCTCTGCTCGGCCGCCCCCCTGCTCGGCCACCTCCTCTCCCGCCGCCCCGCCGCCTCTCGGGGGCGCCCTAGAGGGGAGATGTCAGGGGGGGCGGATCCCGTGGCCAGGCCACGACGACTCCCAGGCATCATGGCCCCCTCGTGCTCCTCTCCACACGTTCCCTGGCCCACCCTCGTCTGCGCGTGCGCCTCGGGCCATGACCCAGGAGCCCCCGTCTTGGACGCGCCCCTGCCCGCCCCACGAGGCCCGCGCCCCTGCCGAGGGCGAGCTCTGGGACGAGCTCGAGCGGCTGCGCGAGGACCGTCGCCACCGCGCCGCGCGCCGCTCCCCTCTGCCGAGGTGGTGCAGGAGGCACGCTTCGGCGACGCGCTGGGTGGGGCAGGGGCAGCAGTGGGGGGGGAGAGGCAAAGCAGGGCTGGACCTAGACGGTGTTTTGGCGTTTCCGTGGGCCGTTTTCGCTTCGACTTCGTTCTGCGGTAGAGGCGGACTGAAGACCACACGAGGGAAGACGAGAACAACACGAACTCGAAAAACACCGGTCAGGTTCAGCCCTGAGGCAAAGGGGGGACGGGCTCAGGGGGGACAGGCTCGAGGTTGTCGGGCGGTTACTGGGATTGGGCTCGAGGTTTTCCAGCCTCGGGGCGCTCTCGGGCAGCTGGGCCTCACCGGGTGGCGCCTCGCGGTGCCCAGACCGTCCCCAACGGCTACCGGAGAGCCAAGTTACACCCCGCAAGCCAGGGGGCAACGTTAGGGGGGATGGGTACAGGGGTACAGAGGGGTGAACGCATCACCCCCCCAAACGCACATTCATCTCCGATAGGCGCCCGATAGCGCCAAGCTGCTCGGTAACGTGCGGATTTGCTATCGGGGGCCTAGCGCTGATCTATCGGGGATGCATGGCTGATTCCAGGTCGATGTTCTCCCCCCCCCCCTGTCGTTGCCCCTCAGGGGGGGAGGAGGGGGGGAGCGGGTCAGTGTAGCCCTCTGGGGCGTGCAGCTCCCCGCTGCCGATGCGGGTCTCGAACATCATGCCTTCGTCGTCCTCTCGGGGGGCGTCCAAGATGGGGCGTTTGCGAATGCGTGGGTCTCCAGGCGTGGAGGGGTCGGGCCTTCTCAGAAGGCGGCGGGGCTTCCCAGATGCCCTCTAGGCTTCCTGCCAAGCCCTCGGCGGCCTTGGAGGATGTCCTGGAAGCTTCTCAGAAGGCTGGAGGCTTTCTGAGCCGTTGAGCCTCCTTGGAAGGTCCCCCCGCTGCCCTCCCGCCTGGGCGGCGTGCCGCCAAGCACCACCAGATAAGACACCGGACTGCAAGCAGTGGCCCCACGGACATAATGCCAATGCGTACATCTCTGAACACCCGATAGCCTTGGACACGACGGAAGCCCCGGGACACCGTCAGGACGTTCAGATGATTTACGACTAGTGGGCCCCCAGATATTTGAGGAGGGGCCCTTGTGGAGTACGCGGCCTGAGAGAGAAAGAGAGAGAGAGAGAGAGAGCGAGAGAGAAGAGAGGGGGAGGGAGAGACAGAGAAAGAGAGAGAGAGAGAGAGAGAGTGCGAGGAGGAGGGAAGGTGAGCGAGAGAGGAGGCAGAGGGAGGGATGGGGGAGATGGAGAAAGGGCGGGAGAGGGAGCGCCCTGGAAGGATGCCCCCCATGCTGCCCGTGGTGGCGCCTGGGGGGTGTGGGGGGGGTCCGAAGGGCTAGAATGCTGCAGAGAGCCCCCGAAGTCCCAGTCCAGTGGCGGCGGTGGTGCGGTGTGTTCGGGTGGGCGGGGAGGGGATGGGGGGGGCAATGTAAAAAAAACGTCTTGTCGAAGGCTCCGACCATATGCAGTTGTGAGCACCGTGTTGTGGCACCGCTTTCGGTGAAGCTCCTTATGGGGCCATAAACCTTGTGAGGCTTGTGCCAACATGAAGCAGCGCCGCCATGTGAACCCTGCCACTGGGGTCTTCGGCTGACATCCTCATGGGGCCACGAACCGTGTGAGGGGTGCGCCAAACTTGGGCGACCCCGCTATGTGGACCCTGCCTCTGGGGCCTTCGGTGGACATCTTCTTGGGGCCATGAACCGTGTGCGGCTTGCGCTACAATGAAGCGGCGCCACCATGTGGACCCTGCCATGGGGGCCTTCGGCTGACATCCTCATGGGGCTACGAACCGTGTGAGGGGCGTGCCAAAACGGGGCGTCTCCGCCATGTGGACCCTGCCACCGAACATTGTGAGGCTTGCGCCGAAATGAAGCGGCGCCACCATGTGGACCCTGCCTCTGGGGCCTTCGGCTGACATCCTCATGGGGCTACGAACCGTGTGAGGGGTGCGCCAAACTTGGGCGTCTCCGCCATGTAGACCCTGCCTCTGGAGCCTTCGGTGGAGCTCCCTATGGGGCCACGAACCGTGTGAGGCTTGCGCCAAAATGAAGCGGCGCCACCATGTGGACCCTGCCACTGGGGTCTTCGGTGGAGCTCCCTACGGGGCCACGAACCGTGCGAGGCTTGCGCCAGAATCAAGCGACGCCACCATGCGGGCCCTGCCACTGGGGCCTTCGGCTGACATCCTCCAGGGGGCACGAACTGTGAGAGGGGTGCGCCAACATGGGTTCTTCGCCATGTGGACCCTGCAATTGGGGCCTAGAATGCTGTAGAGTACCCCCGCAGTCCTGGTCCAGTGGCGGTGGTGGTGCTGTGTGTGTGTGTGTGTGTGTGTGTGTGTGTGTGTGTGTGTGTGTGTGTGTGTGGGGTGTATGTGTTCAGCGTCTCAGCTCCTAGGGTACGTCGTGGCTGACGTGGTCACGCCGTTGGCCCTCTTGCGCCCATCATCGCGGTCACCTTTTGTTGATGGTCTCTAGGTTCACACCTTACCAATCTATCTCGCGGGCCGCTATGACGAACATCACCAATCTGCTTGGCAGCGTATGTCCTTGCGTATGCCCTTGATGAGTCAGTGGCCGCATTTGACCCTGGCTGTCACGCGTCAGTTCACTGTGCTGGTTGCTGTGTTGGGTCAGTGTTTCATGACACGCATTGGATGGTCTGACAGCCGTTACAGTTCTTTCTTGCGTTTCATTGTGCAATGCCGCTCGTTAGTGATTGAGAGGCCGCCAATTCGCACCAGACTGTTCGCGCTTCAGTTCACTTCGAGTTGAGTTACTTCCTCGGTTTTCTGACCGCTGCACGTTTCGCTTGGGTTTACATTTCTTTACTCCACCCATTATTGCACGTGACAGCGTGCACGATGTTTACATTGTGGTTTCGATACTTTTCGATGGCAGTTCGCACTTGCATGTGCTGCTCGCGCCTGAAGGCCTTCTGCGCCGCTGACTTAAAAGTGCGTAGTGCGTGCGTGTGTGTGTGTGTGTGTGTGTGTGTGTGTGTGTGTGTGCGTGGCGGGGGGGGGGGGAGACACCACGCATGTTGTTGGGGGCAGCAGAACTTGGTTGTTCTGTTTGCCGCCCCCTACACCCAACACGCACATACACACCATCACTTCCTCTCCCTCCTCCACCCTATTCTCTCACCTCCTCTCCCTCATCCACCCTACTATCTCTACCACCGCCCCCTCCCTCTACCACCCCCCTCATCGTCCTCCTCCCTCCTCCTCCCCTCCTTGCTTTCCCCCCCTCTGCCCTCCCATGGTGGTCAGGTTGTTACCGCAGGTGTCTTGATGGAGCATTTCCTTACCACAGACATCCTCGCTAAAGATGTCTCACTCAGTGGGGCCGTAGCAAGGATTGCTTGCTACAGGCATCCATGCAGTCACCCTTACGAAGTAATGTTTACCACACTTGTTTTAACCAAGGGCCACGCACCAAACGGAATGCTTAGTAAGGGCCGCTTGTCACCGACATCCTTACCAAAGATCTCTAGCAATGGCCCCCAGTGGAGGCGTTCGCATGTCGTGCCATCGGGATTTCGTTGGCTGGGCTTTGCGTGACTGTGAAACGGGAAGGAGGGAGAGAGAGAGAGAGAGAGAGAGAGGGAGAGAGAGAGAGAGACAGAGAGACAGAGAGAGAGAGAGGGAGATAGAGAGAACGAGCGAGACAGAGCGAGAGCGCGAGAGAGAGAGAGAGAGAGACCGAGAAACAGAGAGAGAGAGAGAGAATCTGCAAGCATTTCCTCCTTCCACGTCCTTCTTTTGTTTTGTGGGATGTGTGAGAGAGTAGCAAGGCCTCGCACCCATCTACTCTGTCTAAGGACTCCTCACTAAGGGACTCCGAATCCTTCACAAAGCAAGTGGTCGTAAGGCATCCTTCCTGCAGAGACTTTGACTGAGGGGATCCTCTGCGAGGCGAGCGCAGAGTGAGGGAGAAAGAGAGAGAGAGAGAGAACAACTTGACAGAGAGGGAAAGATAGAGAGATAGAGAGATAGAGAGAGAGCGAGATCCCCCTCCCCCCGAGCATGGTCCTCCAAAGTCCAATCCCACGACTCTTGGCAATGGGCTGGAACTCCAAGGACCATGCTCACTTGCAGACTGTCCAGGTACCTCCTGCAAAACATCCTCATCTGTGTCACGATGCTGGAGGAAGGGGAAGAGGACGGAGGAGGAATACGATGAGGAGGAGTAGGAGACGTGAGACCGCCCAAGTCAAGTCTTGTGTGGCAGAGCGCATGCTCCACAATGGTCCTGCATCCGCCACTGTGCCGGCGAACCACTCTGTTTTGCGACCCTTCGATCTCCGCCGGGAAGGTCTCGCGTGTGACATGCGACACCCGCTGGTTCGATTTCTCGAGGGATTCGCATGGGGCTTATTTGGGCCGTCAGTGCATCGGTGGGGTTCTCTTGTGGGGGTCCTTCGTTTGCTTGGTGGGTTTCCCGATCGGTTGTCCAGTTAGCAGGTTTTCTGGTTTATTGGTCAGTTAGCTGCCTAGTTGGGTGGTTGGTTGGCTGGCTGATTGGCAGGGTGACTGAATCGTTGATTGACTGGTTGGTTGGTTGGTTCATGATTCATTCCCTCCCACTCTCCCTCCATCCCGCCTGCGCGAGGCAAATCTATGATCTAACCACTCCCCCCATCCCCGGGGAACCTAACTTGGCCCCTGATGTCCCGGGGAGGCCACGATCCTATCTCGGAGCTTCCCCGAAGCTCCACTGGGTCCGCGGGGTCCCACGCTGGGCGCAACACGGCATCAGAGGTTTCGAAGCCAGCCCAAGTGCGCCCTAGTAGCAGTCCCCCCCAAATAACACCAGGCAGCACCCATTCAGTTTCTTTTGTCTTTGGTGTGTGTTTTTCGGTCTTCGGTGCATCCAAGACGGCCCGAAGTGGCCCCAAGATCGCCCCAAGACGGTCAAAAAGGGCTGCAATATCGGCCCAAGGAGTCTAACGAGCCTTACGACGCCCCCAAGGGGGATTCCAAGGGGCTCAAGACGGTCCAAGAGGGCCCTGATACGGGTCGAGGCGAGCCGAATCCGACCCCACGAGTCCTAAGACCACAGTCTTGAGGGACCCAAGAGGGCCCCAAGACAGCAAAAGAGGGCCCCGAGGCGTCCCTCAAGACGGCCCCGAAACGACCCATAGACCCCACCCAAGACGGCGCCTCAAGCCACCATGCGCCCAAGAGGCTCCGACACGTGGAACAACGCTTAATAATTGCCCCGATAAGCCAAACCCAACCAACTTCTTGAGAGCCGACGTTGCGAACAAAAAACACAATATCGCGACGACTCACGACCAGAGCCCCAGACTCCTGGATGTCATTTTCCTGTAGCATTTTTCAAGCCAGATCGATCTTTGATGGTTCCATGGCCCGAGAATTGGGCGAACAGGCCCTGGGAGAAAATCGCAACGCCCCGGTCTCAGGGTCTAGGGTTTAGGGGTTCTAGGCCCCCCAGATGGGGTCGGAGTAGATGGGGTCGAATGATCGCGCCGGATCGCCGATGCATTGGCGATGCGCTCGGCGATGTATCGCCGATGCATCAGTGATGCATCGACGATGCGGCGCGTTCCTCCGACCCCACCCACTCCCTTGACATCGCTCGGACGTGTGCGTTTGTCTTCGCTGACGACGATCGAGGAGCATCTTGGACCATCGTGCGAAAAAGAAGCGCACGAAGCCGAAACATGCACGGGCCACGGACGTCGGAGCGATTGCAAGCTCCCACCCCATCTGGGAGGCCTCTTTCGGGTCGAAGTCACCGCCTCGAGACACCACCAAGGCCCGAAGAGGCGCTACCATGGCCTCCGTGGGATCGCTGCCGGCCGCGGCGGGCGGCCCGCCCGCCCCGCCCATCTCTCCCGTCGTCGTCGTCGTCCTCGTCCTCGTCGTCGTCGTCTTCGTCGTCCTCGTCTTCGTCGTCGTCGTCGTCGTCGTCGTCTTCGTCCTCGTCCTCGTCGGCGTCCTCGTCCTCGTCCTCGTCGTCGTCGGCGTCCTCGTCCTCGTTCCCGTCGTCGTCGGTGTCGTCCTCGTCCTCCTCATCTGCGTCCTCGTTGTCGGCCTCGGCCTCGGCGTCAGCGTCGTCCTCGTCGTCGGCGTCGTTATCCTCGTCGTCGTCGGCGTCGTCGTCGGCGTCGTCATGCTCGTCGTCGTCGGTGTTGTCAGCGTCTTCGTCGTCCTCGTCGTCGTGTTGCGTTGTCCTCATCGTCGTTGTCCTCGTCGGCATCCTCGTCGTCGTCCTCTTCGTCGTCGTCGTCGGCGTCCTCGTCCTCGTCGTCGTCGCTGTCGTCCTCGGCTTCGTCCTTATCTGCGTCGTCCTCGGCGTCATCTTCGGCGTCGTTATCCTCGTCGTCAGCGTCATCGTCGGCGTTGTCATCGTCGTCGTGGTCGCCGTTATCGGCGCCGTTGTTCTCGTCGTCGTCAGCGTCGTCGTCGTCTTCTCTCGTCGTCGTCCTCGTCGTCGTCCTTGTCGTCGTCGTCTGCGTCCTCGTTGTCGGCGTTTTCGTCCTCGTCCTTGTTTTCGTTGTCATCGTCATCGTCCTCGTCCTCACCTGCGTCCTCGGCCTCGTCCTCGGCGTCGTCCTCGTCGGCATCGTCGTCGGCGTCGTCGTCGTCGTCCTCGTCCTCGCACTCGTCCTCGTCCTCGTCCTCGTCGTCGTCGTCAGCGTCGTTGTCCTCGTCCTCGTCTTCGTCGTCCGCGTCCTCGTCCTCGTCGTCGACGTCGTCGTCCTCGTCGTCGTCGTCGTCCTCGTCTTCATCCTCATCTGCGTCCTCGTCCTTTCGTCGGCGTCGGCGTCGTCCTCGTCCCCGTCGTCGGCGTCGTCGTTGGCGTAGTTGTCCTCGTCGTCGTCGGTTTCGTCGTCGGCGGCGTCGTCGTTGTCCTCGCCCTCGCCCTCGTTCTCGTCTTGGTCCTCGTCGTCGTCGTCGTCGTCGTTGTTGCGTCGTCGTCTTCGTCACCGTGCTCGTCCTTACCTGCGCGCTCGTCCTCGTCCTTGTCGTCGTCCTCGTCGGCGTCCTCGTCGTCGTCGTCGTCCCCGCCCTCGTCTGCTTCCTCGTCCTTGGCGTCTGCGTCGGCGTCGTTGTCCTCGTTGTCGTTCCCGTCGTCGGCGTCGTCGTCGGCGTCGTTGTCCTTGTTGTCGTCGGCGTCCTCGTTGGCGTCGTCGGCGTCGTCGTCGTCATCGACGTCTTCGTCCTCGTCGTCGTCTTCGCCCTCGTCGTTGTCCTCGTCCTCGTAGTCATAGTCGGCGTCCTCTTCATCGTCCTTACCTGCGTTCTCGTCCTCGGTTTCGATGTCGTCTTCATAGTCGGCGTCGTCGTCGGCGACGTTGTACTCGTCGTCTTCATAGTCGGCGTCGTCGTCGTTGTCCTCTTCGTCGTCGTCATCGTCGTCGTCATCGTCGTCCTTGTCCTCGTCCTCATTGGCGTTCTGGTCCTCGTCGTCGGCTTCCTCGTCCTCGTCGTCGTCGTCTTCGTCTTCGTCCTTGTCGTCCTCGTCGTCGTCGTCGTCTTCGGCGTCGTCTTCGGCGTCGTTATCCTCGTCGTCGGCGCATCGTCGGCGTCATTGTCATCGTCGTCGTCGTCGGCGTCCTTGCCCTCGTTGTCGTCGTCGGCGTCGGCGTCGTTGACGTCGACGTCTGCCTCGTCGTCGTTGTCGTCGTCGGTGCCCTCGTCGTTGTCGCCGTCCTCGTCGTCGTCGTCCTTGTCGGCGTCCTCGTCGTGGGCGTCCTCGTCGTCTTCGTTGTCGTCGTCGTCCTCGTCTGCTTCCTCGTCGTCGTCGTCGTCAGCGTCGTCCTCGTCTGCTTCCTCGTCATCGTCGTCGGCGTCGTCGTCGGCGTCGTCCTCGTCGTCATCGTCGGCGTCGTCGTCGGCATCGTTCTCGACGTCGTCGTCGTCGTCGTGTTTATCGTCGTCGGCGTCGTCGTCGGCGGCGTCGTCGTCGTTCTTGACGTCGTCGTCGTCGTCGTCGTGTGCGTCGTCGTCGTGGGTGTCGTCGTCGGCGTCGTCGGTTGCGGCGGCAGCCCGCGAGGACAGCGCGGCGGCGCTGCGCGGCCACTCCGCCGAGGTCTCGGCGGCCTGCGAGGCAGGCCGGCTGCAGACCCTGAAGATTTCCGAGGCGGGCCGCGGCCTTGCGGCGCGCGGGGCGCCCTCGCCGACGGTGACCCCGCCCCGATGTCGGGTGTCCTCCTCTTCCTCCTCCTCCTCCTCGCCCTCCTCCTCCTCCCCCTCCTCCTCCTCCTCCTCCTCCTCCCCCTCCTCCTCCTCCTCCTCCTCCTCTCTCCTCCTCCTCCCCTCCTCCTCCTCCTCCTCCTCCTCCTCCTCCTCCTCCTCCTCCTCCTCCTCCTCCTCTCTCCTCCTCCTCCTCCTCCTCCTCCTCCTCCTCCTCCTCCTCCTCCTCCTCCTCCTCCTCCTCTCCTTTTCCTCCTCTCGGCAGCGGGGCCCCGGAGTCCCCGAGTCACCGGGGGGCCCTGGGGCGCTCGGCGCGCGCGCGCGCGGCGCGGGCCCTTTCCGGAAGCCCCCCCGCCGCGCGGCGCTCGCCCGCTCTGAGCTCGGCCACGAGCGCGGCGGCAAGGTTGGGCTCCGCGGCGACACCTCCCGCACGGGTCACGGGCTTTTGCAAAACCCGGTCCCCGTCCGGATAGCCGCCCTGCTCTTCCTGCCCCTCCTCCTCCCCTCCTCCTCCTCTTCCCCCTCCTCCTTCTCCTCGTCCTCCTCCTCCCCCTCCTCCTCCTCCCTCCTCCTCCTCCTCCTCTTCCCCCTCCTCCTCTCCTCTTCCCCCTCCTCCTTCTCCTCGTCCTCCTCCTCCTCCTCCTCCTCCTCCTCCTCCCTACCGTAGCCAATTTCCCTCCCCGCAGCCATCTTGCCCGCGGCGGCGGCGTGCGGTGGCCAGCGATCGGGGTGCCCCCAGCGCCGGGAGAAGGCGCGGGTTCGCCACGGCTCGCCCCCCTGCGGGCGGGGGCCGTGCGCGTATGACTTGCGTCGGCGCGTGGTAAGGATGCCGCAAGCTGCGTCGTGGTGTGGGCCCCCCGACGGAGGGGGAGCTTCCATCGCAGCGAGCCGCTGCCGCCGCCGCGGCGACTGCACGGGCTCTGCCTGGCCACCTGCCGCCAGGCCAAGGTGGGCAACTGGGCGGCCCAGCTCCAGCCGCCCTGGCCCTGGTGGGGCCTCCAGTGGGCGCCAGGAGAAGCGACCGAGTGATGGTGAGGGGGGAGAGACGAGCTAGTGCCAAAAGGACGGGCAGAGACAGTCGTGCGTAAAGGGCGACCGTGCGTGCGAGAAGGATGGGCAGCGGCAGCTTCCAGCAAGCGGGCAGGACGGGCAGTGGCAATTACAATCGAGGTTCTGGGGTTTGTTTGGGGTCTTTGGGGCGGGCCTAAAGCTTCCCACTAATGTTTCAGAACTTTGAGAAACTATTGATTATCGGGAACCCCCGATCCTCAGAAACGAGGCCCGGGGAGGGCAGCCGACCAGGGATTTTTGGGCCCCTCCGAGGGCCTCCAAGGTTCTCTGGGGGACCTGGTGGGCTGGGGTGCGCAAGAGGCGGGAGGGAACATCGGAAGCAGTGGCGGGAAAGTCGGTATGCCGGACATGGGTCCTGGAGCAGACAGGCCCCGGAGTCTTTTCGCCGCTTTCGGGCCCCCGGCCCCGGGGCCGTTAAGACGGGAGATTGGTATGGGGGGAAGGCGTCCGGGTGCCCAGGACCAGCTTCCCTCGCGTCGAGAGGAGTAGCAGTAATTGGGTGTCGGGAGAAAGAGGAGGAGGAGGAGGAGCAGGAGGCGGACATATTCTGTGGGTATTCGTACAGTGCCGCGAACGTACCAAGTCTTCTTGCGAAACCGACTTTGTGGGTTGGAGTGGGGAGTAGCGCGTCGTGGGAACATGTGCGAGAGCAATCGCCAAGTTTTGTTAAGGCAGCGGCGCTGTGATGGATAAGGCGAATACTATATATATGAGGGCGAGGAGACAAGGAAACGGGAAAGGAGAGAGGAGGCGCAGGAGAAGAGGAGGGCCAGGAGGAAGCAGGAGGATAAGTACCCATCGGTCGTTGAAAGTAGGTATTTTTAGACTCCCAGATTCCAATCTACTTTCAGCGCCTTCCTACTTCAAGAGTCGAGTCGTTTTCCCTCTTCCCTCCTCTTCAGGAGGAGGGCGGAAACCCAATCTATTTCCAACGCCTTCCTACTTCATGTTTCTACCTACTTCTTCCGACCGATGGGTAGCCGAGCAACTTGCCGAGCGACGGTGACTCTGCCAGAACAAGTTCCCACCCCTGTGCCCTCGCACGGAGCGAGGATGCAGCTCCACGCAGTTTCACAGAGGAAGGTTTGGCGAAGGAGTGGCGGGAGTCGAGACATAATTTATCAAGCTTCAACCGCAGCAGAGGTGGAGAGGCGGGTTTTGGAGTAGGAGGTCCGTTAGTTCACGCACGGCCAGGGTTAGTGGCCGTCCGGACCGCACAGGTAGCTGGCATTTTGGCGAGAGCGCTATTCCAGAATCAGTTGTTGTGACGTTTTACTCGGAACGCCCGTCCGGGAACGGAGTCTCGGGGTTCCCGTCTTGCTTGTGTGTCTTCTGTGTGTTTTTTGCTCACCTCTAGAACTTTTTGTAGCGAAACGCTATTACAGAAAGCCCGGAGGATGTCTGAGGTCAAGCGGTTCTTGCGGCTCTGAATTGCGTGAAGTCTAAGGGGAAACGGCTTATGTGGTCCTACATTATGAGGACATCGCAGGCGAAACGGCCACTGTGGTCCTAATTACATTGTGAGGGAATCGGCGGCAAAACGGGCTCTGTGAGGAAGTCTCAGGCGCATCGTCGACTGCGCAGAGTTCGCTTCTACCTCTCTTCGTTCCCCGCGTGGGATTCTTTTGTGGTTTCAAGTGGGAGGAGGCCTCAGGCGAAACTGTGATTCTGGGAGTGGGTATTCTGCCTCTCCCCGTTCCGATCCCCCTGTCGCTATTATCTGTTTTTGCTGCTGCACCTCCGCTCGAATCTTCTAGCTGAAGCTCTATGATGGAGAATCGGCATAAATCTACACACGGGGCGCGCAGGCTGCGCCAGGGGCGCCATGAGGGCGCTCCAGCGCAGATCCAAGGCATCTGCGCGGAGCTCCACACGCTTGTCTTTGCGTGCTTATTCCCCTCCTAGGGAGGCTGCGCCAAGGGGCTCCATTGCAGATTCAAGACATCCGCGCGAACCTGTTGTGTTGTTGTTGTTGTTGTTGTTGGTGTTGGTGTTGGTGTTGGTGTTGTTGTTGTTGGTGTTGTTGTTGGTGTTGTTATTGTTGTTGTTGTTGTTGTTGGTTGGTGTTGTTGTTGAACACTATTACTTCTAAAGAATTATTATTGTTGGACCCCCTGGTGCACGCCCCCCGCCCAAAACCTAGGCCGCAGCTACATTTTCATCATTTTTCTGCGAAAGCTTCAGAAAAGTGGATTACCCCCGGATCCGGTTTTTTGTTGACGCTCGTTTTCCCTTGCAAAAAACAATAGAAAATGAAAATTCTTGTTCTTAGTTGATCAAATTTCAAGAATCCCTTGCAAAAAATAAGGTAAAGTGGACATTCGCGCTCGCAAGACGAAATCCTTCCAAAACCTTAGGTTTCGTAGCGATTTTAACATAAAAACATCAAAAACCCAATGGTTTTTTAAGAAAAAAATGTCAAAATGTCCTTCCGCGCGCTCTTGCGGATTCATAGGAAACACACCACTTTTTAAACATTTCTGTCAAAAGGGTCTTTGCGTGCTACTTCTTCAGGTGCTTTGAACTTCTCCAACAACGGTTGCGCGCCTGCGAGGGCCACCATCCCTTGCAAAAAATGAGACGAAGTGCACATGCGCGCGGCCGCCGCGCGCGCATGTCGAAATCCTGCCAAACACAATGGGTTTTCAATAATTTCAAGATGCGATGTTCAGAAAACATATGAAAACGCACTACTTTCTCATCCGAAAAATCTCGAAATCCATTCGCGGTCTCTTGATGAATCTTTAAAACCCAAGATGGCCCCAACAGGCGCGCAAGATGGCCCCAAGAGGCGTCCATGAGGCCCAAAGAGGCGCCCAAGATGGTCCCAAGAGGCTTCAAGAGGACTCCAAGAGGCCCCCAAGAGGTTCCAGAGAGGCTCCAAGGTGGCTCCAAGAGACCCCCAAGATGGCCCCAGGAGGCGTTCTAGAGGCCCCAAGAGTCCGCCGTGAGGGTCCAATAAGCCCCCAAGAGGCCCCAAGATGGTTCCAAGGAGCCCCCCAAAGGCTCTCAAGTGGACCCCAAACCGCGCCAGGAGGCTTCCCCCCTTCCCCAAGAGGACCCCAAGCGGCCCCAGGAAGGCCCCCGACTGCTGACGCACATATCCGTAGCCATCTCGGATCAAGGTATCGCCTGTGTTCTTGGATCATGGCTTTGACGGCGAAAGACCTTCACGAGCAGTATGGCCCTGAGCTGTCGCGGCCTCCCTTGGCCGACTGCGAGAGTGCGTATTATTTGCATCAGGCGCTCCGGGCAAAGGGTATCAATGCTAGTCACCAGGCGTGCAAGACTTGGTGGGCCAAGTATCGGGGCCGTATGGATGTCGGGGTTCGCGACGTCGCACAGAGATCACGTATCCGCGTCAAGACCAGTGGTGGTGGTTGCCCGTATGGCGGTCGTATGGTCAGAGCGACGAGCTTCCGAACATGCTCGATTACCAGGCCTTGCCACCGCAGGTCCACAACGTGCTCGCGGTAGCACTGCCGTATGCAAGCACCGGCCTTCCCGCCAGCAGGCGTATCGGCAATCTCATTGGGCATCTGGGACCGCACGGGTATCAGCCAGGCCCGCACGTGTATCAGCCAGGCAGCCGGGCACCCACGCGCCCGCTCCGCGCCATCGCAGACGACGATGCGTCGCGCCTTTAGTATGCTTCTGGATGCGAAGACCATTCGGTTGAGTATACCCCTACGTGTGACTGGACCTGTTTGCGAAAGCAGGAGAAAGTATGGCACCCCTTTGTGTCCAGAGCCGCGCCGTCTGCGTTCTTCCTTTCTCGCTTCTCTCCTTTCCTCCTTGTCCTGCTCCTCCTCCCCCTCTTCCGCCTTGGAGCCGTATTGGAACTGTCGATGGCCATCTCCCTTTCTCCCTCGCATGTCTGCTTGTACATACGTATAATTTCAGAACTTACCGTGCATGCGATCGTTTACAACATGGTGGACCGTGCGTATGTCACGAACCTTGTATACATGTGTTTCTCTCCCTCCGTCTGGCTGTGCACGCGCGCGTTGGGCACTGAGAGTTAGGATCATAGCGCCATGAGTCTATGAGCAATGCATGCGTCATCCTTGGGACTGTATAACATCAGTGTAACACATGTACTTCTGTAATCGCATCCCCACGAATTTGCCCCAAAAATGTGACCAACTATCTTGGCACTGCGTACCATCTCACGTGTACCGTGTACCACATCATATGTAACAGATGTGATCAACCTCTGTGGGTGTGTACCCCACGCCAGTGTAGTAGCCAGGGTCGTCCGCACGCCACGAAGTGAAGTGTCCCAACGTCATAGGGCGGGAAGCTGGGTGTGGGTGGTCTCGAAGAGTCGTTTGGATATTTGGTAGAGCTTGAACGGCCCCCCCACGAAGTGGGGGTATTGGCTGGTGTCGCAAGAAAACCCTGGCACTGGGGAGAACACTGAGCGTTCGGGTAAAATGATTGTTGTTGTTGTTGTTGTTGCTGTTGTTGCTGTTGTTGCTGCTGTTGTTGTTGCTGTTGCTTATGTTGTTGTTGTTGTTATTGTTGTTGTTGGTGTTGTTATTGTTGTTGTTGTTGGTTTGTTTTGGTTTGTTCTTATTGTTTTATGTTGCTTTCGTGTATGTATTGTGTTGTGTTTGTGTCTAGTTGTTACATGCAGGTTTATGCTTATGTTTTGTTGTCTTCCTTCAGGGAGGCGGCGCGTGGAGACAGTGGCAGCTCCGAGTCGGTCCCATGATTCTTCCCGGGGTCCAAGCGCACCAGTTTGTTCCGAGCTGCGTCCGGCCGTGGCGACGAGGCCCCCCCCCTCGAAGGCCAGCCACCGCTGCCCCGACCCGCCCCGGCCTGATCCACGGGCAGGGGATGCCTTTCACAAACCAATCAAAACGAATGTCTGACCATGCGTAAAACACAGCGTTAATTCACACCGTAAGTACACAACGTGAGTATACGTAATACACAGCGTTAATACACAACGTTAGTATACATACTACACAGCGTTAGTACACACCGTAAACACTGCCTGACGATTACTGGAGCTTTAGATTGCTGGAGCCGAACTTCTCGCCCACGCGCCAGGCGGCGTATCGCCTGCGAGTGGGCGACACCTGCGCCTGCCAGTTGTCGCCCGCCTGTGCCCTGCTGTCTTTCCTCAGGAGGGGGAAGCAAACAAACGGACACAAGTCATCGTCGACTCCCAGGAAAATGCAGGAAAATATGGGAAGTGGTGGGGGGGGAGACGAAAACCCAGAAAATATGCGAAAATATGGGGGATCCTGTTATTTGTGTCTAGTTCTTTGTGTGTTTTAGGGCCCCCTCATTTCCGCTCCTCCAGGGAGGCGGCGCGTGGGCGGACGCGCTCGCGCGCCAGGCCGTGGCGGAGATGGGCCGCGAGCTGTCGCGGCGCGTCGGGGCGGCGGAGGCGCAGGTGGGCGCGCAGGCCCGGCGCCTGCAGGAGCTGGAGGCGCCCCCGGCCGCTCCCCGGGGGGCTGCTCCGAGGGGGGTTACAGTCGGGGCGCTGCAGCAGGAACACTTTTCGTTGGGGAGGGGCTCCGTGTTCCTCGATTGTTTCACAGCTTGCCTCAGGTGTGCCTCAGTTTTTCCAGGGGAAATCGAAGTTGAACTTGTGGCAAAAGGGGGCCTCGTTCCTTACTTAGGGTTCCTTAGGTCAACACCCCGACTGTAAGGCGAGTCGGGTAGGGCGGAGCGGCGGACGGGGCTAGGACGAGGATAAATCCGTTCCAGAGCGTTCCCGAGCGCTCTCAGAGCGTTCCAGACCGCTCTGAGAAGGCCACGGCGCACGAGACATCCTCCAGAGCCGCTGGATCTCAGATATTCTCGATGTATTATCCTCACCCGATGTTATCCTCGTCTTGGCTTCGTCTTCGAGCGACAAGCCGCTGGAGTGGGGCGACGTGGAGTCCGCGAGACAGGGAGAGGGGAGCGTGGCGGCGCGGCTCTAGTCGGCGGGTGCGACGCGAGTGGGGCAGGGCAGAGCGAATGGGGCGGGGGCAGCGGGGGCGAGGACTTCAGTCAAACACGCTGGAGAAAGTCCTCAAGACGGAGCAAAGGCATAAGCACAGTTTGGCGCTCCGCTCGGATTTCTCGGATCGGCCCTGGGCCAGGTCCCCTTGGCGACACCTCTGGCGCCGCCGCTGACGCGCTCTGCGCGCCAGGGAGGGGGATCCAGCGCCAGGGAGGAAATCCGAGCGGACTTCTGATTGTTCAATATTGTTGATGCCGTTTGTCTTGGTCTTGGTCGAAGAGGGAGGGGGAGGGCGTTTTCGTTGACTTTTGGGAGTTGTCTCGCTTTGGGGTGCCTTGTCTGCAGCTGCGCTTCGCCGAGGGCTTTCCAGGGATGCCGGGATCGTCCC